CTGTTGGTTCCTGGCCTCTGGAGCTGTCCCTGGGTTTGCTCCTCCCTTTTCCTAAAGCAAATCTCGTGCCCCAAACCCTCTGTGCATTTTGTGTGTCTGAACAGAAATCACTTAAGCTTGGTGACTTGGCTGCTCATCCAGGGGCCCCCAGCCTCTTATTTGTCTTTCAGGAGATTTGTCTGTCTTTAAATCCATAACATTCAGAAAAAAAGAAGAAAATCCATCTCCTTTTCCTTATCTGGAGCAGATTGTTCCTTTCTTGAGCTGTGGTGCCTCTTCCTTTGATCAGAAATCCTTCAAGGCAGGGCCTGCTCTGTGGCAAATCACACCCATTGCACTTTACACCAAATTAATCATTAGTTCTCAAATGCATATTGAAACATCAGCACTTGTTACTGTGATTTCTGGAAAAAATTTGTCCTCTAAAAATTCAAATCAAATCAAAAATTCAAATCAAACCTTTGGGTTTGGAAGGTAAGGGGTAGGGTGTTTCTTGTGGTGTAAATTCATCCTGAATTTGTCTTTCCATTTAATAATTGTGCTGTTTGATATGCTAGAGATAAAATATTTATGGTCATTCTCAGAATTAAATGCTGCCCAGCCTGCAGATAGAAGGGAATTCAATATACTGAATTTCCTAGAATTATTTATTTGGATTTATCACATCTATCAAGGCTAAAATATTGAAAATGCTTTCCCTACTTTGATATAACAGCTCAGTGTGATCTCTGTTGCCTAAAATACTAACAGAATGTTGAATTTATTGAAGGATTGAAAATTCAGAGGAGATGCAGCAGAAGGAAAGCTGCCCTTAGGCAAAGTGGCTCCTCCAGAGAGAGAAAGGTACCATGGATGAAATTCCTGTGCTGAGGGCCAGGGTGCAAAGGGAATGGAGAATCATTTATTATTATATCATTTTTCAATGAAATAACACAAGGAAATTATTTCTTCCTGATCTGCAGAGCTCTGGTTGACACACTCAGCCTTTGTTTCTCTGGGAAACACAAAGGCACCAACCATGCCAGGCTCCTTTCAAATTCCCAACAATCTGATAGCCTGCAGAGTTATAGGCTGTAAAACCCCTCAGATTTTATATAACAGTGTTTCTATTAAAATAAGGCTAAACATTTTTAGCATGGTATATATTGAATTAACTATATTAACTATAAATGATAACCTTTCACCATTACTATAAATGATAATCTTTGAGTATTTCAGTACTGTATTTCTCTGAAGCAGTTTGGGTAGATTTAATTTATTTATAATATAATTTATTTATATTTAAATGCTGTAAAACCCCTCAGATTTTATATAACAATGTTTCTATTAAAATAAGGCTAAACATTTTTAGCATGGTATATATTGAATTAACTATATTAACTATAAATGATAACCTTTCACCATTACTATAAATGATAATCTTTGAGTATTTCAGTACTGTATTTCTCTGAAGCAGTTTGGGTAGATTTAATTTATTTATAATATAATTTATTTATATTTAAATGCTGTAAAACCCCTCAGATTTTATATAACAATGTTTCTATTAAAATAAGGCTAAACATTTTTAGCATGGTATATATTGAATTATTAACTATAAATGATAACCTTTCACCATTACTATAAATGATAACCTTTGAGTATCTCAGTACTGTATTTCTCTGAAGCAGTTTGGGTAGATTTAATTTATTTATAATATAATTTATTTCTATTGAAATGCTTCACTGTGCATAATCACTGTATGCAAAGCAGTATTTACACCAATTTGTGCATTGCCTTGCTAGAAGGAAGCACACAAGCAGCCTTGCAGGAAAGGACTGGCCTGTGTTGTGTGTGGAGCTGAGATCCTGCCCAAAGCTCAGGGTAAGAGCCGTGCTTTCAGTGGCAGGGATGGGATTTCTCATCCATCCTTTGCTTTCCCACTTTGGGATGCTGCAGGGATATTTTAGAGTAATTGGTTCATTTCTCATTCTCTGGATAAATGAGATCTGTAGAAAGCCTTGGAGGGCAGAGAAGGGAGTCGGGACAAGAACAATTTTTATTTATTATTTTATTATTTTTATTTATTTTTATTTATTATTTTATTATTTTATTTATTTTTATTTATTATTTTATTTATTTTTATTTATTATTTTATTATTTTTATTTCTTTTTATTTATTATTTTATTATTTTATTATTTTTATTTATTATTTAAAATAAACAATTTTTTCTGGCAGTTTTTCAGGTGCTGCCACACTGATCTGTCTCGAGCTGCAATCTGATATTTGAGAGTTAACTGAAGGCAGCTCCTGCTGCCATTGTGGGAGGCTGAAGGAATTATTTGGAGCATAGTGGAACCTTTCATTGGGTTGTTCCTTCCCAGGATTAGGTGTTAATTTGCTCCCAGTTTATGTGAGAGGTTTGGTAATACCTTGGCACAGTAACTCAGTGAATCCAGTGCATGGAACTATCAAAAGTCTGCCTGAAATAATGAATATTCTTCAGTGTGTAACCTCCCTTAATTTGGTTTTATTCTGTTGTACAAAGTGGGGGTGAGCTGCTTGTGGGAATTCTTTGTGTTTCTGTGAGACACTTTAATTTGGGAATGTCTAAAGGCTGATAAAATAACAACAATTCTATTTTTTTAAAAATAAACTTCATCTTCAGGCCGCTGGGCCATTGTGATAATGACCTAATTACAAGATATTCTCATCAGTTCCATGCAAATTAGAGATGCTTCATGCTTAAACAGTCTGGAGCTGGTGAAACCAAAAATCTCTTCAGCAAACCAAACCTGTGCCTGAGGAACAAGGGGAGATTTTCCATTTTCTGCACCTATTAAACCCAGACCAGATAGGAAACTCCACAGTGGGCAGGCCCAGGTCACTCCTTGCCTCCCTATTTTCCCAAAAGAACCTTTAAAATTTGAGTGATCTCATCAGGAACTTTGACTCCTTCCCTGAATTTATCAGAATCATCAAATCTCTGGTGCAAACCTGAGCTGGAGCTGGGCTGCAGAATGTCTGAATGTCAGGGTGGCTTTGTCAGCAAGGAGTTTTATGTTGTTTAAACTGAATCTCAGATGCCAGTTGATTGAGGAAAGCTAAAAAATCTGAAAATTAAAAAATAAATGGCTTTATTCAAAGTGGATTCAAGCTCGCTGCTCGATTTGGGAGTAATAACAAGGGGAAAATTATCTGTTGAAAAGTAAATTTTGGACACATTAAAAATTTTAAAGAAGGCCTTCTTCCAAGGGCCATTTACAGCAATAGAAGTCTTTTCAGTGCCTGCAGTGGGTATTGGATCAGGGCCTAAATTCCCATCTTGTAAATGTGGAAAGTTTGCAGCATGGTTGAACAGTACTGTATTGAAAACCATGTGTGTATTTAAGTCTTACACCCCACTTTTTAAATTATAGGAATTTTGAGAAAAGCTTGCTACAGTAATAGTGAGCTGCAAATAATCTGGAAACTCTTCAGAAATGCCAATATAAGAAGCAAAGAATCCATTAATAATTGTAAGTGTAAGCTAGAGGCCATTTCAGAAGATGATAATGTGATGTTGGTCATCTCAGATGCTGCAAGTCTGGGTCACCTTAAAGAGACTTTGAAGGTTTATCAGATGCCAGTGAAAGGTAAGTTCTCACTGATCAATTCCAGCTAACATTTGTCAAGGCCTTTTGCTTTAAATTCAATTAAATACCCACAATTTGCCACCCCTCCCTTGGAGCTTTTCGGTGAGATTTTCCTTCCTCTAATAACACATTTAACAGACACTGAAAGGAGCTCCAGTGTCCCCTGCACTCCCAGATTGGTTGGGCTCTTCCATAAATCCTGAAGAGGAATAAAAGAAAAGGATGATGAGCACAGAATCCTTTCCACTTCTTGCCAGTTAATCCAGGAATTGGCCACAATTCCCAGTTTAACCTTGGTTAAACAGCACTGCTGATTTGACAGGAAATCACTCCAGCTGTCAGCCCAGGCCTTGTGCACCCCTTTGCTTCTTCAGGTGACAGAGAGCAAAAATAAATAAATTGATTTCACATGTGGGCAATTCTGCTGCCCATGCAGGGTGTGAGGCTGGCACAGCAAATGAGAGGTGGTTTTGCCACAAGGTCTGAGCTTTTACCAATCTTTCTGACACACTGAAATCTGTGAAATGCAACTGATAAAATGACTTCAAAAAATCTCTCTTGATTCCTTTATAAACCACTTTTCTTTCTTTTTGAAAGACCTGAATGGCAGTTTATCTTTAAATGCTCTTTGGAATGAGAAGGAATCTTCTCTGACAAGTTACTTGCAGTGCAGGAGCTGTGTCCTTCAGTCCATTTCTCCAAGCCCTCTGATAGGAGCTGAGGTTACTCATTTCAGTAACAAAGTGCAGTCATGGGTAAGTCAGATCACTTTATTTTGTGTAATAAAATTAGAATGGAATGATTTGTACAGGAAATACTAAAATACTATTTTTGTAAACGGTAGAATGAATATTTACTTAGATAAATCATGTAAAATGATCTGATTTCTACCACAGAGATTTGAAATGATAATTATAACTGAGTTCAGGTCACTGAATATATTTGTCTGTACCTAATTTGCTGCAATGTCTGTGGAATTACATCTGAAAAGGGATGGGAAAATAGCAGCCATCCATGTCTTTCATGAAAGGAAAACCAGAACAAAACATATTTACACAAGTGCTGTAGACTTGAGTTCTCAGACATGTAATTTTATGTTAGTTTTGGCACTAAAAAAGAAGAAGTTAATCAGCCCCTGAAGGATGAACATGGACACGGTTTAATGGAGTCAACAGGAAGAAATTTATTCTAGGTATTGTATTTCACTG